GTTGCGAATGTTTGGGACCCACGTTTTATTACCAAAACGGTTGCACCATAAGTAGATGATGCAGAGGTTTAGGTAGTAGGAATTGCACTCCACCGGAACCATAGCGCTAGCAGAGGTGGAGTCCTTCCCTACTACCGCAGCGATTTGCAATGTGAAATAGTACATGATCTGAAAACTAAAGTTACAGACTCACTCTCTTGCTGTCAACGACTAAAACACATCGAGGCATATCTCGAAGCCGTCTTCTGTCGCTCCTCTACGTCTACTCCGGGAATAGATTCCCGCTTAATTCGTGCCTTGAACATGGTAACGCACACCACATACAGCCACTTTTTGCATCTCCGGGGAATTAATATACCCCATCTTAAGGTATCGACGTCATTTATTAAACAGTTCAAAGCAGACTTACATGAAATTGTCAACTAATATTCCATTGCACAATCATGACACCAAGTTAACTGCATTCAGTACAGCAAAAAACCGTCCATTTTGGAACTTGTGCGCACCAATGAAGAGCTCATGGTAGACTAGTTATAGATGAAGAGTCCAAGAGGTCTCAGCGACCATGTAGTAATAACTTTCAGCTATATGCTTTTTGCACAGTATCACTATGAACATTCGGAACTTACTCATCTATTCACTCGCTACCACAACTTGCATCTGCTTGGGTATTCTCAAACAACAGTCCCCTTGAAAACCTTTAGACGGAGTTCGTTGATATATTGAGCAACAGGGAATACGAAATTAGGCCCCTTCGTCCAGTAAAAATAGCTTCCATTTAAAAGAGCAGTTTTCGAAATTGCATGTCGATAAATGAAGCAGTATGACGTACCAACAAGTTTAACCACCAAGCAGAGACTTGGGGCAATTTCATGACCCATCGCAACCATTGCATTGAACTTGTTCATGAGGACAAAGTAACTTATCAACGGTGCCTAGCCAAAAATTCCTGGCAAACAACAACCTGCTTTATAGGCATGTCAACAATCTTCGTAATGTGAAGCATGGAATCCCTTTACTTTTCACGACAAGCGGTGGAATACAATGCGCCGAAGAAGCAGCTGATGTCCAGCCGTTACAATAGGCTACAATTTTCCAAATCGCAGTCTCTATTCGTCCCATAGCGTCATGCACATTGCTGACTCCATTGTTTACACATTAAGTTTTCAACCCAACAATTGTGCTAAAGAAGTTAATCTCACTGCGCGACCATAGCTCTCTGGGAGCAGACAACATTTGCTCGAAGGCACTGAAGGCTGCGGTCAACAAGCTAGCTGAACCACTGTCACAGTTCTTCCCAAGGTGTTTAACGAACAAAAAACTCCACTATTATTTTTGAGTGTCATTATCACCTCAATTTTAAAAGGCGCTAGCCGTACAGATCCTGTAAACTATCGCCCAGTGACTCTCCTCCTGTGCTCGTGTAGGTGATGCTAGCGGTCATAGCTGAAGTTTTAATGGACTACCTGGAAAATGCGACATTTTGGCACCGGATCAGCATGGGTTCCGTCAACACCGGTCTTACAGCACCAACCTACTGATTTCATCAGCTAGTTGGACTGAAGTGGTTGATTATGGGGTCGGAGTTGACATCTTCAATCTGGACTTATTCCAAGCTTATGACTGCCTGGATCATCGCAGCCTATTTTACAGGCGATATAGCTAGGAAATCAGAGATTCTATTCTTGTTTGTATTGGCAACTTGATTCACCAACCTAACCAAGAGCGTGTGAGTTGTTCAATCTCTTAGCCAATTGAGTTAGATTGTGGCGACCTGCAGGGCTCCGTGCTAAGACAGTACTTATTCTTGGTGTTATCAACTACATGGAAATAGTTAGCTTCTCAAATCTCCTGCTTTTGCTAATTACGTCGAAATATGGCGCGCGATTAGTAACAAAAAAGACCATGATCTACTCCAACATGACCTAGATTGTATTTATGAATGGTCAAAAGGTAATCTGCTTCATTTGAACATAGTTAAGTGCAAGGTAATCCACCTACATCAGCCGCCCATAAGCCTTTGCAATCTTGAAGATTAGACCTTTCAGAAGGACTCTCAGGAAAGTGACCTGGGTTTACGGCTACAGAAATCTGTCGGGTTTTCAAAACAAGCAGAGAACGTGACGACAGAATGCAATCAACAAGTCGATCCACTTCGCAGAGCGTTCGGCCGGTTTGAACCCTCAATAATGCCTACGTGCGACCTCAACTGGAATATGGTATCGAGGCTTGACAGCCATGACAGAAACAGAAACTGGGTGCTCTCTGGACTCCACAACGAAGCGCAACCAAGATCGTCAGGGGCCTCTTTCATCTGCCCTGTCAGCTTACACTTAAGTTTCTAAGAATGCACAGCAGTCAATTTCGGCGTTTGCAGACGGATTTCATAATAGATTTCCAGATTCTGAAGAACCCAAGCCATATTTGCCGTCCGCTGATGGAATCGTATCAAAACACTAACCTAAGAGGTCGTTATCTGAAACTTACTTTACAGTATAACTGGCTCGAATGTCGTAAAAACATTTTTTCCTTCCGTGTGTGCAGCCTTGGAACGCTCTCCTTAATTAGGTCGTCTCTGCTCTTAATCTGACCATAGTAAAACACGATTTTATGAAGCCTTCCCTCCTTTGCATTTCAGCATACGCACTGCTGACTGTTTGGATTAGTAGTTGCTGTTAATTACACAGACGCTACGAGCCAACTGTATCCAGGGCGTCTATTCGATTTCACAGTCAACTGAAGAAAAACAGGCTGAGGGTACTTACTGTGCACAAACTGTCTGTTTACCTTCAGTAACATTTCAAAGATGATATCGTGGCTGGCCAACTTGAAAGATGTTTGCAAACAGCGATTAGCGGATATCTAATGCCACCAAATTCTGTCCCATTTAGGAGACCAGCAAGTTGCCTATGCCCCCAGTGAAACCTACACAACCGATCTCCGCCATAACTCATTGTATTTAGCAATTCTTTTGTAAATGCGAAAGTAGTTATATTGACAGTAAAGATCGATGCATGAGTAAGCGCATTGCAGAGCATATGCCAAAACGGACTGCTAAGTTATCGACACAACAAGCAGCCGAACAATAAAATGTATCTAAGCTACCGACACCACCTGTCGCCAGACATCTAATCGAAATAGGCCATCAGATTGACCCTGGGACGACAATTACAGATTTGTGGTTCGCCCGAGCTGTGGCACTTAACCCTCATCGTCCTATCCTTTGTGTACAGAAAAAATCAAGTCTCACTAAAGCTTCCTTGGGCATCATAACCCTGTCAAGCTCATCGACCTGTTATTCCTGCGTCTACGTAATTTCCCTTTGTGACCAGTTTCAAAACTTGCTTTCTCTGTCACGTAATTCATATTTATATTGTTAGTTGGAGAGTGAGCAGATAACACGAAATGCTTCCATCCCACAATACCAGTACTCTCATGGTCTTAGTTTCGGTATTTATTTCATCAAGGTCTATGGATTATAGCGCAATTCGGTAGTGAACGTCAACGACTTGCTTTCGAGGCGGAAAACTTTTATATATTCGAATTTCTTTGTCAAGTTTTAAAAAGTTCCTCATTTCGCTGCTTATTCTACATTTTTCGGCTTAAAGGTTTAGCAGAAGTCGAAAAGCATAGTTTATTTAATAACCAATCCAATTGTTTGCCAGCACAATATGACAACGTGTAATGCTAGCCATAATATATATCTCCGAATCTAGTTGGATTATTTTATCTCGCAGATAAATTTTATTTTTCGTTAGTCATACGACGTACTGTGAAGTGCTTACGAAAGCAAACGATAAGGCTAGCATTACCATTCGTACGCGGACAAGGTGTGGTTCTTCATTGCCATTTTTGCTCAGCAAAAATGTATAATTAACGGACTGAATTTTTAATAACATGCCATTTTACTGTGGCCGATGTATTCAATCTTACGATATACAACTACTAGAGCACTTATGCTACATGCTCTCGTTATAAAGTTTGCATACCCAGTGCCACAAAATTGCAACTTAGGGGTAACCGCGCACAATTTGTGGAATGAAATCTGCCTGGAATATTTCCATTTCACCCAACGGCAGCGAATGTGGAAACGTTCTCTTGTCCTTCAGCATCACACTGAACTGCTCCCACGATTCAGATGCCGTTTTCGTTTAGACGGTAGTGTGGTTTAACTTTGTACACCCCTAAATATTCCTAACACCAAATTGATCCAACGGAATGCACTTTTACTTCTGCTGCTGACATGCAAACCGATAGTTATGGAAAAGCAGTAATAATGCACGTATGTTAGTTCAAATATGTCGATGTCATTTCCAGATAATTTCAAGCAGCACTGATCTCAGCAGTACAACTCGTTGTACAATAGCTGTGCGTGGAAGACGGGAAATCGTTGACATTGCATCGTGTAAACCTGCTCCGGAGATTATAAAACGCAATTCAGGCAACATCAGTGAATTACGGACAAGTACATTTTCATATGTGTTCAATATGCCATTACGTTGTGCAAGTTTGTTATGGATGACAAGCATAATGTTTTAAACCTTAGTTAGATATCACGATTTTAAAAGTTATTTTCTTTAACACTTTATAACCGCGTAAATACTAGGTGGTCTGATCAAATCCATTCCTAACCGTAAGTGTACCACTTTCAGTAGCTAATATTCTTCCGTCGGGTTAACACTAATCTAATGATGAATGATGCTAAAGTCATATAAACCTTTTCGATGAATCATCTCTAACTACCTACAAATCTGTTGTGTTTGTTAGGAACCTCTGTGGTCGGGTTTCTACATGCAGCATAGTAACGTTTACATGACTAGTTAGTGTCACGTATCAAAAAACTCTTCTCTAAGTATGAGCGCATGAGTTGCATATGACTATTTGTCCAGTGGAACCTGCAAAGAAAATAGCAGGAACTCATTTTGCACACACGCTTGCCCCACAGTAATTTTTTAGCAGACTAAAGAAGCACTATCAAAGGTCTATCGAGATGAACTAACCTTTTCAACATCCAGTTGCAATATCACGCTCTGCGAAACCTCGGCCACAGTCAAATGGCTATCCACCGGAGACTTGGCTGTTAAAGGCACGGATATGACGTAGAAATGCGAAACCGACTTGATAATTTTGGTCGTCGGATCATAAGGCACCAGTTGCACCGCCAAGGCAGTGGAATGAATTGCTGTCGTGCCCTCGTTATCTTCCTTTCTTTGGGGAACTACATTATCAGGGTCCGGAAAAAATCGCAGTTTTACCATACTGCCTAATATATCGCTCATCACAATCCATTCGAAACCCTCGGGATCTGATACACGACAACAGTTTTTCCCTCCTTGTGGGGAAGTCGGAATTAGATCAACCCGACTGATTTGCATAACCATAGTGAAGTCTATGCTGATGGTTATCCTGTGCTTCGCAGTGAGCGAAGGACCGGATGTTCCATGAAACCACTTCCTATCACCTATAGGAATGGGGGAGCTGGTGGCCCCACTTTCCGCCGGAACCAGTTGATCCATCAGGCCCGAGGTGGATACACCGGATTCGTGCCACCCTAGAGTTACCCGGTAGATCAATCTCGTCCAATGTTTCGACCTACTGTGCCGCTGAATGCAGAATAAGGGCCGAAGCTCTTTATCAACTGTAGCGGCTTGCTCTGCTGAGGTACCCCAATCTAGAACAACACTCCAGTCTACTCCACCGAAGGTGAAACCAGCACTATCAAGCGATCGGCATCTCATGGCTTCCTTATTGTCACGGGGGATACGTAGTTGCTCTTCGTAGGTTGTAACAGCTCCACGAATCTCCAGCTCTAACAATCCGGAATTGTCATCAAAGAGATAGTGTTCTTTGGCCAAAAACCCTGACTCAATCCAACGAGGCACTTTTAGCGCGTTGTTGACAGATGTAAACGTGGGTTTAAGTTCTTCGCGAACGAAGTTACGTGAATAGTGTTCTTGATGAAGGTAGGTAAATCGAATGTATTCCAACTGCGTACGCATTCCTGCAGACAACCCGCACACTTGCAGTGATATTCCCAGTGGCTGTTTTTGATAGTTGACCACAAATGAGTCACGACGCGTTCGGCTTTCCAAAGGGTCAGTATAGTACTCCAATCCAATCGTCCAATTTATACCAGCATAAGTGAATTCCTTAGAATGTACTGACTGAATAAATCCGCGAGTTAGTTGTGCTGGTACTATAAATGTGTACAGCTGACTGTCAAGTTTATCACCCACGCGGATAACTTTGTGGAGCTGCAAGCTTGGACCTCTTACTGTGTTATTCAAATGAGCCTTCATGTTTTTTGGGCCAGGACAACATCCGAGTCGCTTTTAACAACGGAGACTACTTTTCCAGAGCAACAACTTTTGACGATTGGATTTGGTACCAGCCTGGCCCACCTACTCCCTAAGCGGTGATTGGTGGAAAATAGTTGAGAAGCTAGGTAGTTAATAGGCTGATTTACCATAGGCTTTAAATCCTATCGTAAGTCATAGTATAATTATTATGGATATACGTGGTACCCCAATATTAGCTTGTTAACCAATTTACTGTCTCCATACTATATCCGCAAAACATATCGAGGATATATTGTGGAAGGAAAGAATGTGCCAATATCCGGTAAAATTGTAATTATGTATACCCTGAATCCGCGTGTATTTTTTATTACATAATGCATGGCGTCGTACGTGTCTGTGAATCGGTGACCAAGTTTTCGATTCCTTAAGGATACCAGATAATCATAATTTCGTCAACAATTGTTCCGTTTACTGCATTGTGTTATTTATTGGAAAGATTTTCGGCGTTCATGCTAGGAATTGATGTGCTAATGCACGGATTCGGCCAAAAATCTGATATTTTATGCACCCTATTTATAGCCAAGGAAACACATTATGCCTTCCGAAGTTTACGCTGCTATTATGCATGCTTTTCATGCTAGCAGCGGACTATCATACAATTAAGATTTAAACTAACTTAAACTTTCTGAGGGAACTTATGACTTGCGGAAATTGTTAACATCCGCCACAGGTGCGACTGGCTAAAATTTCTTCATCCGCTTCCTTATTGCCTTCATCGGCACTATACTGGATGGTTTGGATGAAGCGCAAACCCTAACCCGATTTATTTATTAAGCCGCTGTTAAGAAGATTTGGAGTCTATACAGTTTGCCTACTGACGAGTTTCTCCCATTTTTATTGTACTCTCTTAAGGTTAAATATTGGTAGATATAAATAGCAACCAATACATGGAATCGCCCCAATGTCTTATGCTTTTCATAATATTTATATTTTAATATTCGGAGCCTTTTCAGTGATCCATAAAGAACACCAATCTGAGGCAAACAATGGTCTTCAATGATTCATCCACGGGCTGGTAGAATCAAGCAAGGTTAAACTGCAAAGGGATGAATATTGATTGGTTCGGTAGTTTGTTCTGAAATGACTCGGTCATTGTTTAACACGTACAAAGCCGCCTAACATTGTGATGGAGCTTAATCAGTGCTTAATGTTTTCCACACGGCTTGCAGAAGCTAACAATTTCGTTCGGTCTCTAGATAACAGTATGAATACCCGTGAGTACCCAACCACGTTTCGGAAATAATTTCGCCGAAACCGTATTTTTCCCAACTCTAAAACTCTCCGTCGTCGCGCCTTAAACCAACGCGTTACTATTTGTGGTAAAATTCCTGAACTTCACCGTAACACTGCTTAGGGACAAACTAGTGCTGATGCGCTCACTGTAGAGGAATATCAGCAGCTTGTAGATTATGTTCAACAGATCGTAGACAGACGAGTGCAGAAGAAACTTGATGTTTTGGCACGAAGCCTCATGAAGCCACCGGCTACGTTCTCGAACCATCCAGCAAAGTATTTTTGCAATTATTCGAAATTGGTGCTTTCGCCTGAACTACTTGAAGTTTTGTCACTCGGTTCGGAATTCTGTTATCCTAAAAGTAAGGAATATCAGCTAGGTAACGAAATTTGAAAACCTCGTAGCACAAACGAAAGATTTAGTCGCGCTATCAACTGATACTCTAGAATGTTTCAAATCTTCGTTGGTCAATTGCTGTTACCAATATCGAAACTACCAGGTGAATCAACGAGGCCTGGTTGTTCGTAACTAGTTGAAATCACTAAGAGAGTTTAAAAAAACAACCACTACGCTTCTCAAATTACTAAAGAGAACTAACTGTTTCAAGTATCTAAGAAGATGAATTCCCGCTGAAACAGTCAAGCTACTTCGACGCCTTGTCAACCTGCAATGTAAGATTGCTTGCGAGTGTGTGGAAATATCCTTCTTCCCCTAATATATCCTTCAGCGTCATTTTTCTCGATCCATCTGAATATGTTACGTAGAAACAAATGGAGGCCCTCTGCAGCTAATCTTAGACGGGTTGCATCCGCTCCTCTTGAGACGGCACAAACCAGACTTGTGGATTTACTCGGGACACACATACGCTTATTGCCCCTAATGGAAAACTTGTCCCTCTGTAGTTGTATTGCATTCTCTTGGTTTTGTAAAACCACCGTTGATCGCACAAAAAGGAATGCGTTGGCACGTCTTGAAAAGTCACTGATAAACAACCAAGTGGAAGTGGCAGTTACTCGTGACTCCGGTAAGTATGTTGTGAATATGTCGGACTTGAAGCCTAATGCATTACAATCGGAAGCATTATCATTTGGCATAGACTACAAAGCTTCCTATTAAATCGCAGTTTGAAGACTTATTTGATCAGGTGAAAGATCTACAACCAGCCAGTGCTGATAAGCTGATATGGTTTAAAAATAAGCTGACAGATATTGCTTATGAGGTTAAACATGTGCTAGTAAAAGAAGAGTGTGCGCTTACAAAACGGCATTTACAGGCATTACGCGAACAACTTGCCGAGGATGTGATTGTAACAAAACCAGATGAGGGTTCTGGTGTAGTATTCATGAATAAGGTTAAATATATAAAGAAGATGACAGTCATACTCAAATACTCAAATTCAAACGACTTGAGAGGACAGAGGATGTGGCTGTGTTAGAGTCTAGCATAACTCGTCACTTAGATGTGCTTCGTCTGCATCGTGTGATTGACAGTGATACGTGTGACAGTTTGAAGCCGACCGGATCCATTAGTCCTTAGCTATACGGGCTACCGAAAGTACATAAGAGTGGGGTGCCACTCAGACCGATTCTATTGATGGTAAACGTGCCTCAACATAAACTCGCTCGCTGGCTGGTGAAATTGCTTTCTCCGCTGTGAGAGTGAGCCAATCTATAGAGCCTCCAAGATTCTTTTGAGCTTATCGACTATCTCGACATATTTAATGTATCCGACAAGTTCATGTGCTTGTTAGATGTGGAAACGCTTTTTACCAATGTTCCCCTGCACCAAACTGTTGATTACATTTGTAGACTAGCAGAAAGCTCGCGGTGTCACCTACCGATGCTAATTAAGCTACTAAGACTCAATGTTGTCGTATACGGAGAAAGCCAACTTTCACTTCAGCAACGCACAGTATTGTCAGATTGAAGGAGTAGCGATGGGCAGTCCCCTTGGCCCGGTACTTGCTGATTTCTTTATGTTAATGGTAGAGCGAGGTATATCTGGAGAAATATTTCGACTTCCATAGTACAAACGCTAAGTGGATGATACTTTGGCAATTTGTTCATCGGAGCATCAGATGGAACAGTTGGTAACGCAATTGAATTCTGCGAATTATAACTTGCGAGTCTCCTGTGAGGTAGAGAAGCAGAAGTGCCTTCCGTACTTAGATATCTTCATCAGCCGCAGAGAAAACGGGCGGATTCAGAGGTCTGTCTACAGGAAATCAACATGGTCCTGGCAGTATCGGCATTTCACTAGCTTCACACCATGGCGATACAAGTGGAGGGTCGTGAGAACCCTGATTAGCCGTGCCAAACGAATCTGCTCCGCTGATTGCCTGGCGGACGAACTGCAGTAGATTACCAACACGCTCAGTGAAAAAGGCTACCCCGGAAGGTTCATCGAGAAACATAGTCAAGTGCGACCAACGGACCTGGTTCACACAGTACCTAAGAAGCCAGTAATCACTGAACTGCCATACAAAAGTGACGCCTCCCCGTTGAGGAGCACAAGGCGTCTGATCTGTGCCATGCAGACAATTTGTTACGCCGCCAACTTCGTTGTCGTTAACAAAACGCAAAACTGCCACTTCCTTCAGTAAAGGAGGCTCATCCTATCGGGGCCAAATCCCGTTGCATTTACCAATTGATTTGTGACTGCGGCGCCAGTTACATAGACAGGACTGATAGAACATTGAGTTACCGAATGAAGGAGCATGTATCTAAGTGAGTTCAACGTTCGACCGCGCAAGAACCTGGCCAGAGTCAAGCTGCTTGTCTGCGTAAGCCATCAGTCTCTTCGATCGACCGAAACTTATTGACCACAGGTCATCGAGTCTAGGTCAATTCGGCTTTCACAATCCTATTACAACGCACCAATTCTCGCCTCCTCCGTTTCGCAGAGGCGATTGCAACTAACCGGATTAAGCCGCTGCTTTGTGTTCAGAAACAATTATCGGTCAGCATTTGACTGCCCTGGGGACAGGGGTTATAACCATGTCTCGCTTATCGTGTGTTGATCTGTTTGTCTGCATGCATGTTCGATCGCACCCTTCACTGAGTAAATATTATTGCGAGTTATTTTTAAACGCACTAGTGAGACAATACGAAATGCTTGCATTTGCCAGTCTTTGTCTTCTTACTGCGCTTTTCAAATGATACAGTCATCTGCGAGCCAGATAAGAGAAGTGTTATAGTCTTAATGGATAAAATTGATTGCATCTCGAAAGTAAACCAGATTCTCCGAGACGAAACGACGTTTAGTGTAATGCTAGGCAACGAGGATCAAACAGACAAAACAGAACAAAACCAACATAATGCGTGAAAGATCTATGCACCAGCGGTTTTATATCTGGTAGTCCGTTTGAAAGGTGAAAGTAAGTTGGAACATCTACCATGAGATTGTATGGACTGCCAAACGTACACAAAGAACTTGTACCTTTAATCCCTATATTGTCTATGACAACTCCGCATGTCATCCTACAGCCCAAACGTTGTCAGAATTGCTGGAGCCAATAAAAAACGGATTGCCCAACGAAGTGTTGGGGATAGTTTTACCCTCGTAGAGCACACTCGAGATGCCAATCTGAAGAAAAAAATGTTCTCAATTGATGCACCTTCTTTTCTACAAATGTCCCGTAGCTGGAGACCATAGAATACCTATGGAAAAATGTGCACGAGGATAAGATTCATTCATCTATACCCTTACAATGCCTGAAAACATTACTTTAAGATGCA